CCCCAAAACCCCAAAACCCCAAAACCCCAAAACCCCGACTGGGTGGATGGTGCTGGAAATATAAATTAATTTGAAAAGTGAGTAGGGGTGATGAAGAGTTTTTATAGGAAAATTGATTTTGGAGAAGGTTTTAGACCGTTTGGAGTAATTTTTAGGCTTTAGATGAGAGATTTGGACCCAGGGAAGAAGGAATTATCCAAAAATGTCGATGAGAGATTGGGCATATTGAAAATTTTAAAGATGAGTCATTGATGATGAAAGTAAACATACCTTCACAAGAAAAGTATCTCATTTTAAATAGGTTAAATAGTTTTTTAGTGATCTTAATATCTTCAAGGATCTTCTTTAATTTTAGATATTTAGAGAGTGATAATTTAACTTTAATTTTTTATAAGTATCTGTACGACCATTTCCCATTCTAGCCAGCTTCAATTATGAAAATATTTGCCACTTATTTGCTGAGTTCATTGTCATAGATAGGGTGAGTTTAGAAACTACTTAAGAAGGGAAGAAACAAATCCTCCCTCATTATACAAATCACTCAGACTTTGATGGCCACTGATAAATTAGTACTGTATCAAAGACTAATCCAAAACCAAAATATGGTTCCAAATTTGAAAGCAATTCCATTCCTTTTTCCACCAACCATATTTTAATTTCAAAATCAGGAAACTTCATTTATCTAACATCGGAAGGGGGCTTATAAGGTGGTATCAAAATGGGATCCTATCCTGAAAAACTTGAAAACTAAGATTTGGTTCCAGCCATCGATCATTCCAATAAAATTTTACCTTTCAGCCAAAAGTTTCGGCAAAAAGAGATTATTATACTACCAGAGAAGAGAAAACTAAAACCAAAAACAGCAATACAAAATTTAAACTCGCCTAATTCTCCTTCTAAGGATACTCAATCTCCTCAATTTCCCGACCCAACACAGTCAATGTATACAAAGTGAGCTAAAATTCCTTCTCTATTCTTCTTTTCTATGCTAAAAAACTTTTGATTTACCCCAAAACCCAATAGTTTTATACTACTTTAGCACAAAATCCAGGCATCCAGGCAGGAACAACCACTTAACAGTAAGGAAGACTTCTCTTCTGTAGGCTGAGGCCAACCCCTCTTGATCAAGAAAAGCAACCTTCATGTTCTGTGAGGCACCTATTACTGGAGGAATCTTAGGTGAAACTCTGGGAGTTATGGAGATATTAGGAATATAACTCAGAAAGTTAAGAGAATCGAAAATATTTGTAAAATAGTATTGAATTTGGAAGATAGTGACGTATCGAATAGTCTGAGGGGTGCTGGGGTTTTAGAGAATTATCTAGAGTTATATTATAAAGGTTTGAACAGTTTGGGTTTAGGATGATATTCATATTAAGTGCTGAAAGAAAGCAGGACTTAATTGCTGACAGAATCATCAAACTTCAATAGAGAAGAGCAGGGATGAAAAAGGAAGTCTTGACTCACCCTTAGATATGATTCAGTCAAAATTCAATGATATTTTTCTAACTTTAAAGTAGTATACTATTTGCATCAAAAAGGCTTATTTCAATTTCATTCTATGATAAAGGGGTTTTGGGGTTTTGGGGTTTTGGGG